GGATAGAGTACCGAATATATGTAATTGTGTGTAAAACCACATACATGTTTACGTTTTTTATGGTGCGGTCTTTATTCGGCTGTTCTTGGTGATATTTGGACATCATTGTTGTAAAAAAATAGATATATATGTATGTCGCCAGTGTGTGCGTCATTTTCAACAAGGTGCGCATTTGTTCAGATTTAATTTAGTGTCAAATGTAACGATGTACAGAACACGTCCAGGAAAAGAGGCGTATTACATTGAACTTGATGCTGATTGATGTCCTCTTACCAGATGGGGAGGGGTTTAAAAAAAATGTTTTTAGTAACCTCCTTTGCAAGAGAAGACCTACTTTTAATTAATACATTTAAGTGAGCACCTTTTATAAATAAAGTTCGAGCACTGGAACACCTGTTATGAGATTTTTGTTGTGGGAGGGCATTGAGCCGGGGATACACACACACACAACGGCTTTATAAACCCCTTCGTAACGACAGCATAATGTCATGTGGATGTGGAATATTTGCTGGTTTATTCCAGGATGTTTCTGTTACGCGTTGTCGCTTTAAGATGTTCTGTGTTCAAATTTTGTTTGTTGCTGTTGCACCCGACTAAAGAGCCGCATGGCTCACAGGGCTATACCTAATAAATGAAACTTGAAACTTTCATGTTCTAATGGTTTGGCGCGATGCGCCGGCAATACGGATGTCACCTGATCGATCTCCCGTTGTGGCGCTTGAAACAATGTGGGCCGAGTTTTTGGGGGGCCGTCCATAAATGACGTCAAGACGAAGTCAGACCTCCCCCCCCTCAAATATGACGTCACAAAGCTCTGCCCCCCTCCCAAAAGAGAAAAAAAACATGCTATTGTCATTGCAGTGCGTATTTAATGTGGCGCTGCAGTCTGATGTTGCGGGAGAAAATATTTATTAAAAAGTCTATTTAATTAAGTAGAACGTGTTGTCTATATTTATTTCAAGTTGCGCATTTTGATGTGACGTCACATTTCTCAACCCCCCCCCCCCTCGTCACACATCGTCACAAGGTGCGTGACGTCATTTACGGACGGCCCCTAATACGGGTAGCCCACAGTCAAACAGCAGATCACGTGTGGTGGATGAAAGCGTGGGTGACACCCGCCTCTTCCACGAGGACTCGACAACGTGGAATATTATGTCAAACTACCCTCTAAAGTCTAAAGAGAGGCTTTCTCAAGCTCGGTCTAGTGGAGGTCTTCCCGGTAGCGGTGTTGTTGGGCATGACATTTCATGATCACTACTGCCGCTAACATCATTAACACCTCTATCGCGCGCAAAACTTCGACAACATTCCAAGGTGCAACAATTTGAACGCTAAATGTGTCTTTATTTTTTCAAAGAAGGATTCCTGCAGACATTTTCCACAAGGGTGTGGCCGCCCGTGAAATGAGTTGCACGAACTCTCACATCATGGGGCCCTCCCTTGCCAGTATCAAAATATAAGGGTAGGGTTTACCCTTGCTGGCAATAGAACATTTGTGTTAAGATGTTAAAACATCAAACTGAAACCCTTTTGCAAAGGAATCATCTCTGCATTGACCACATATACTTGTGGTGAACATGCAAACAAAACAAAAAACTTGCTCCGGTAATATATGGCATTGTCTTTGAAAGTTGATTGGTCCACACCAGAGACAGCCTTCTTTAGAGCCTAGTCTCAAATGGTGTTCGACCAGAGGACACCAAAAGGGGAACTCTCACATGCCGCTCCGAGCGGCTCGAGTTTAGGTGAGGATCTCACATTGGGGAAAGCTCTCCCGTATTCATTCGATCGCCACGGGATTTGTTTTTAATTCCCACACCGCAGCGTATGTACAGTTAAGGTTTATGACATGGATTCACAATTCGTTCTCTTTGGGTCAGATGGTCACGTGGGTAAAATGTCAATTAAAAAAACTACAATCCACCACTACCACCACTGCCCGATCGAGCCAATCAAATCGCGTTGTCACGTGGGGATATATGCTACATTGATTTGGTTTATCAGCGAACCAGTGTTGAAAAGCAAGCAACAATTTGGCATTGTACATACACGGTCTAACCCAAGTTATGAATCATAATATTGGTCATGAAAGCCCATTATTAAAATTAACCCTCCAACATTACTTTGCCAACTTGCTCACTATACTCCCTATCACGGCTTACTGGGATTCCAGGTGTTTAATGCATATACGACGGCGTTTCAGTTTCTCGATGATATAAAGTGCTGCTAAGCGTGCCCCTTTCGTGATTCGGCCGCTCGTGGTTAAACGAATTCATTTGCTCGAGGGTCACGAGTTTGTTCGGGAATCTATTTATTTATTGTTTACATCGTGGCTGCAGGGATCACTTCAACATTTTTACATACAATGCATACGAATGGGAAAACACCTCGATTATTGGACATGTGATTCGATACATTTACCCCGCGAGAATGAAATCGACGGTGATTCGATGCAACGTTAACCTCCGATTAGCACGGTTGGCTACGTACGGTGCGAAATAAGTTCAACATACGTACACACAAGGCCGTTCGTGCGTGCGTTAGAAGAGATGATGTGGCCAATGCCACACCCAGCTAGCTTGCCTTCATTTCCCACTGCTAATGTTGACACACTGCACCAGGATTTAGTGCTCAAATTCGGTAGGCGTTGCCATGGAGCATCATGGGCAAAAGCAAATATACAAATGCTTCCGGATTAATATAACATCTGAAGGTACAGCAGCATTTGTTCAACAAGTCTGGATCTCGCTGATGAGACGAAGAAGATCGAAGCCTGACCCAGGCTTTGCTCACTTAGACAAATGCTACTTGATAATAGCGCTCTGGAAAGCTCAGAGGCTGATGGACTCACACGCGTTGCATTTATATGTAGAGACACATAATGAAGTTTTGCTAATACAGCATTTGCTTTAACCAGGATTGAGTGCCGTGCAACATAGGCCAGATTTGGGCCATGTTCAAATCCCATTGGCCATTGTCGTGTGTTGTGCGTGATCTATAATTGAACCTTAGGAATAGGGAGAGCGTAGTGCAGAGTACATGTTTACCACACACACACACGCACCTCACCACTGGCTTATATCAATCGATCAAACTTTATTTCTATAGCACTATTCGTGCAAAAAAATGCAATACATAGTGCTTTACAGGCATGAACAATAAAAGTGAAATTGTACGCAAAATTAAATCACGTTGTAACACATTTCTAGCAAACACAATAAAAAAAATAACACATTAAGAAAATCCTCATTAAAATCCAGCTTCAAAAAAGTAAGTTTTTAGATTTATTTTTAAAGTGCTTAATGATGCCGATGATGACACGCACGCACGTGCACAGACAATACTGTGTACGGTCATTGATTTGCTGTTTTGGTGGGACCACGTGTGTGTCTATGTATCATCCATCGAGCCCTTAACGCCAATCAAGGCAGTGGGTGTTTACCAGAGTCAACTCGAGTGTAAGCTGTACATTAAAAAAAAACATTAAATCACAGGGCCGGCTGACAACATAACAATCTGCTGGCTTAAATTTCGATTTAAAGCTTTCGTGACTGCAATGATTCATCTTCTTTGGTTCTTTGGGTAAAGTCACGTAGAATGAGAATAAAATAATAAATTGATAAAATAAAATAACACAATAATATTCTCACGACGTTTCGGCCACAACACAAGTGGCCTTCATCAGCGCTGTCCTACCAGACAGTCTCGTCCCTTCACCTGATGAAGGCCGCTTGTGTTGTGGCCGAAACGTCGTGAGAATATTATTGTGTTATTTTATTTTATCAATTTATTATTTTATTCTCATAATCTGCTGGCTTGCTCACAAAAGGCTCAACTCAGCTACGCAAAAAAAACAAGGATGTTACTCCGGCGTTCCTTCGGCGTTACCGTCTTCTTAAGCCATGCCTTTTAACACTGGGGCGTTAACACCAGCGTGCGCAAAAAGTGTACAGCACTTCGAATTTATTTGTTACGTTCACAATTGAAAACACTCTGAGATTATTTATGCTGTTGATTGATCGATCAAAGATTAAAATAAAGGGGCCGGAATGGGGTGCCAGCGAGCAACTGTTTGGTGGGGTCAATGAAAGTTTGACGTTAGGAAGACACAGCGAAGGGAGAAGAATGTAACTCGTTGTCTCTGGACCCAGATCGGACCAAGCCAGCCAAACCACCTCGCCAGAGCCACGCACTCACTGCCCGAGCAGTCCAAATGCGTGAACTCCCAGGGAGGGGCCCCATCACCAACCCACCACCACCAACCCACCACCACCACCACGCCTTACTCTCGACAGCCCCAAGCTCCGATTCCCCCTCGACCCTCCCTCCCCTGCCCTGCCCTGCCCATAATCCCTCCCCCTCGTCCTCTTACTCCTCCGCCTTCCCTCCCCTCCCCTCCCTCCAGCTCCCCCAGCTGCCCACCCACCCCCACCGCTGACAGAGCCATCCCGCCCGCTCTGCCTCCGCTTGTGCGTTTCGCAGCAGCAGCAGCAGCAGGCGCCGTAACCTCTCCTCTCTCTTCTGTATCCGTGGCGGCGTGGGACAGGGCACCCACGTCGTACAGTGTGCGTTTTAGACATTTCGAAGCTGCGCTGGTCACTTGCCAACCCAGCCTGGAAGCACTCCTCCTCCTCCACCACCACCTCCTCCCCCGTCAAGAACAACGAGAGTTTGCGATTTATTTTTAATAATTTCCGCGCGGCTTGGTTTTCCCCCCCCCTCCCTTCCCCAACCCAACCCACCTAATTCCACTCCGCGGAGCAAGCGCTGTAGACATCACACCTACACGTTTTTGTTTTGTTTTAGCCAGCCTGTTTGTCGCTGTTGCTAACCACCGATCTCTACTGCTGCCCTGCGGACATCACCGGACCGTGCAACGCATTTTTGTCTGCAAGGCGTGAGTAGAACTTGACCGGACTCCCAAAACTTTTTTTGAGAGCTGTGAAAACTTTGGTTCGCGGACTGGGGGGTGGGTGGGTGGTGGGTGGTGGGCGCCGTGCTCAGACTAAACTGTGGTCTGGTGGTGGTAGGTTTCCTTAGGTTTCACGCATTCCTGAGCAATTGCGGAGACATTGCATCGTCAGGCGTGTACAGTCCTGGTTGTCAGCCTGGGCTGTCACAAGCCGTTTGAATGGATCGCAGCAGATGCCACTCCCAGCAGTTTGTTGTCGCTCGTAGTCAGAACTTTTGAGGGTTCGGTGTTTGAATGCAGGCGCCGTTTTGTTTGAAAAGTTGGTTTTGAAAGAGCTGGCGAGGCATTTAAAGCGGTGCTGAAGTTTTCATTGACGAAGTACAAGTTTTAAAGAGGGATTTTTTTTTTATAATAAATAAACTTCCCCGACCAAGAAGCATAAGCGACACAAATTTCACCCACGCTAAATTCCACCGACATTCATTGTTCCCAAAATTCAACATTTTCTACCGAAACAAACGTTGATTTTTTTTTTATTTTGAGAAACCCAGCAATTGCTTTTCGGTTCATTGGCTCCAGCAACTCAAACCATCTCATTCAACATGGCTGCTGGAATGCTCATGCCTTTGGACAAGCTGAGGTCCATCTACGAGGCCCTCTTCCGCGATGGGGTCATGGTGGCCAAGAAGGACCGCCGGCCCGACAGCATCCACCAGGAGCTCGTCGGGGTCACCAACCTCCAGGTGTCGCGCGCCATGGCCTCGCTCAAGTCGCGCGGCTTCGTGCGGGAGACCTTCACTTGGCGCCACCACTACTGGTACCTGTCCAACGAGGGCATCGGTTACCTGCGAGACTACCTGCACCTGCCGCCCGAGATCGTGCCCGTGACGCTACACCGCGTCCGTCAGCCGCTGCCGGCCTCCCTCCCGGGCCGTCGGCCGCAGACCGGGCCGCTGGGCGCTGGACGGGGACGGGGCACGGCCAGAGCCTACGGAGGGGACGACCGCGAGAACTACCGCTCGGGCACGCAGGCCCAAGCGCAGGCAAGGGCCATCCCCGAGGGGAAGGACGGAGGGGCGAGCGTGAGGAAGGTGGAGAGCGCCGGGCTCGGCTCCGCGCAGAGCTTTGAGTTCCGGGGCGGCTACGTACGCCCGAGCCGTGCCAGCCTGCCACCCGCAAAGGCGGTGGAGGACGATGGTAAGTCTTGGCCCGCTGAGGGCCCTAAGCGGAAATTAGATGTGGGGTGTCCCCGCCTTTTCCATTGTTAAACACCTGGCGAGATGGCAGAAGAGATATTAACAAGAGATAGAGATTCTTGGATGAGAGAACTGTAGACGAAAGAGCGATGCATTCATAATTGGTGCGCCCCTATTTTCCATGGATCCCGGAGTCCCTTGAGCTGTGTTGTGGCCCTATGCATTTGCCTTGGTTTGCTTATGCCGAGCCCCACCACTGGTAAGTCTCCTCTGGTGAGACGAACAAGCGAACAGTAACAAATTTTGACTCGGAAATAAAAACACGTTCAACTTCTAACAGATCCCTCTGTGTGGAATAGCTGTGAGTGGTCACTTGAATGAGGGATGCCAGAGCACGTGGTCGCCATGTATCTAATTGAGGCCATAATGACACTTGAAACGGCAGTTTAATTTTAGGCCTCGGCTTTCCAAGAAATTATTGAGATGTGCGTGGATGAGAATAACTAAGTCAATGAAAAATATTTTACTACAAAAAAATAAAATTTAAGAATATCCTATAAACACTCGTTCTGAAAAGTATAGTTTCAGTGTTGCAGATTTTGATTGAAAGCGTCAATTATTTTCTGTAATTGCTCAGTCAACTTGTATATAATAACATGTGGATCATTTTGTTTTAACCAGTGTTGGAAACTTGTAAGATTGTAATCATGATTAAAGGAGGCAGACATGATTCAGACTAATGCACCGGAGCAGTTATAACAAATTTCCACTGGATGTGGTATGTAGGTTTGGCTTTGCAGAATAACACAATACTATCCATTTCATGGAGAGGCCACATCATAAAACAATTAAACTTAAAACTGTTTGTGTAGGGCTTCAAAATGTCTTTGGGACTCCTTTTGGGATCATGTAATCCAATGGGGTCCATTCGCGTTCCCTTCAGGATGCAGGTTTAATTCATTTAAATTCTCCAACAGGGTCAAGTAGAATTGAATGAGTTATTTTGTGTTTTTTTTTACAAGTACAGTACATCAATTAGCACAGATATAAAATGCAATGATGAAAAGTTTTAATTTTACGTGTAGTTTTTTCCTCCGATAATTAGGTCATGTGCACCTATGAAACATTTAGCTTTTTATTGAAAAAAGTAACATTTAGTTAAAAGTAAACAGTCATTGTAGGACATTAGAGATTTGTGCTATTAATGAGAACAGCACTTCTTTACCCCGAACACTGGAAGGAATAGTGGCCAACAGCATTCCTCACAACCAGAAAAGGCACCAGTGGCTCACTTTGGGCTCGAAGTCAACCTACGGAAGGCATTCGCTAGGTTCAGAGGTCAATTGCTGCTAAATGAACAGAGGATGTCCGAATTGTGCAAGATACCTACAGAGACTGAGTGTGGGTTGCCATCTGAGTGCCTGACCACAATCGTGCTGTGGCATGGCACCGCTCTGTAATTTTTCAAGCAGTCACGCAAAACTGATAAGCCAGAAAGTTGGCTTGGCAGTCAATACATTGTGGTTGTATATCTGATGGGTGTGCCAAGTGGGCATGCTAGGTCTTGAAGAGGCAGTTACGTTTCCGAATGCCTCTATAATGTGTGAAATGGTTTGTGCATTTTGGTTTCAGTGTTTCGGAATGGATGAATTAAAGGTAGCCATACTTTACCCCATTTCTAGCGAGCAACACAATGTAATGAATACATTGTATCTACTTACTACTGGATTAATAGAGACATTGTCACATGAAGTCACCCAGCTGTGGATTCAACTGCCAACACCAGGAATTGAGACAGGTGCTTTGGTTTTCGTTATCTCGATATTTGTACACTAAAACATCACTTTTTGGGAAAAGGCATGATTTTTAATTGGTGCACAAATATATAATTATTTACAATTAGTTTTCATTGAAGTTTATTTCAAGACACTTTTGGCCATCAACAGGTGTTATTAAAGACAAATCTGTTGTTCATTAACATTGTACACAGTACATCAAATAATTGCATGTTTAAAAAAATATAATTCTGCTCCAAACATCAACCTCACTTTTTTTCCCTAAAGTCCACCCTCGGATTTGACATTCAGCTCAACTTAGGCCATCCGCCTAGGAGGAGAGGGACGCCGCTTCCACAGAGCACATGGCATTCCAACATGAAAATGCCATCCATGAGTGGTCTGGACAGCACTGCCACCACGCAACCCTTACGCGTGTCACTGCAAATGGGATTCCCTGTCCAGGGGGCCCACGGTGGAAGTCAAGTGAGCCCATGCCTCTTGTAATCGTCTAATGCAGGGATTTGCGATGCTAAGTCCCGTGGGCCAGACAGTAGTCAATCTTTTCCACGTCAGCCAATCCACCGGGCCGTTTGCCCGCAAAGAGGGTCGCGAGTGCATTCCGCGGACCCGTGACAAACACAATATACAATTATAATTTCATAACTGACCTTTATTTTAATCAGATGCAATAAAACACATTTCAGGAGGCTGTATATTATGTGTAGTCGGGGCTTAATTTATCGCTTTATATTTTCCAGAACGCTGCCAGGCTGGCTCGGAGTAGGGATTATCGGCGTAAGGCACTACCACTAGCGTACAAGCGACGCTATCATGAATAACCATATGCGATTGAACCCTATGATCCTTATAATCATAGACACAATCATATATATCGTGAGGACAGAATAAGGCAAGATGGATGAGGCATGCCAAAATAATTCCCGGAACAATATTCTAGTCTGTTCCAGATGAAATTAGGCGCTGCTTGCAGTATGTCCTCCACTAGATTGCATTTAGAAGTGCAACATGAAACTTTCGTGAACTGACGTTGAAAAACGAATCTGAAAAATGCTATGCAGGTTAACCAGTATTTTGGCCCATGGGGCATTCGAAAAAATCCTACATGCTCTGGGCTTGTCGATGGTCTTGCGACGGCCCGCTGCGGTCTGTTTTGTTGGTGCCAACAGGGCTGGTGACAAATGAAACGGAGTCAAGTCCAGGCGCAATATGTGCGAAACAAACATCATGTAAATACAGCTTGTCCTAGCAGCGACCACAATCCTGAGTGCTTTTTTTTTTTGGGTCAGCATCTATCATCGTGGGATATTCGTCACATCTTTAAAAGCCCGCAACACCAGCACGAAAGTCAGATCGTTGTGAACAGGAGAGGTGCTCGGCGTTCTTGTTTTGTCAACTCATCTTTACCAGCATTTGTTAATTGGCGGTCACGAAAAGTAAAATCTAGTTACTTAACACAAGTTGGACAGTGAGTGGAATAAAATAAAATAATGAACAGATTATTGTTTTAACACGCAAGATAGTCGTTGAGCCTAGTTGGAAATACGGAACTGGACAATTCAAATTTCCATGTTAGTTGATCTCACTTTGCTTAATTGTGCTTAGTATTTTGACTAATTGCGTTTTGCAAATAACCAGAGTTTGTATTAAATTTTCTCTGCAATCGGAGGTTTACTTCGGCGACTTCACTATTATAGTGCCCGCTGCACTCAGTCAACTGTGCCAGCAGAATCGTATCTCTGAATTCCTCGTCCATTGGAAGCTTTGAGCCCCAATGAATCCTGGTCAGAGCGAAGTGTACATTGAAAACAAAGTCCTCCTCCCACACGGTGAGCTTATAACTTTGTACGTGCGACTTTTATAATTTTGAAAACATATCTTAGTTATCGTACTTTTTAAAAAAAATGTGACATGATTCATAAAGTTTACATGAGCACAATATTTTTGCTGCTTGTGTTGATTAACTTTACGTATGAATGTTAGCAGAACGAATGTTCCTGAAAGCTTGTGTGATATTTGGATTTGTGCAAATGTATTGTTTTAGTTTTGCCAAATATATATTCCTTTGTAATGGGCTCAGGGATGAGAGGGAGCTCAGAAGATTGGCAGCCTCCGTTTTATGACATACAAGTTCAAATCCCAGCCATCATCATCATCCCACCGTGGTCAGTAAAATAAGAACCATCTGGTGAGGCTGTACCCACGAGGGCCAGACATATATCGAGAGGCTGGATCCTGCCTCAGGACCGGAATTTCCACCGCTGGCTCAGGATGACCAATCGATATGAGCTCCACCAAAAGTTTGTATATGGGTATGTCACTCACAGGCTTGGGTGGCCCAACAACTCTCGCGTTATTTGGTTGCCGGTTATTTTCATCCTGGGATTAGACCCAGTGTTTTATTATACAGCGAGACAGTAGCCTTCTCTTGTGAACGATGTCAGATAAAACCTTGTTTTTTGGTGTTATTCTTAGCAGGTGACCACGCTAATATATGCAACAGTACGGTTGAAACCCTGACCAGTTGCTCTGTAACGAGGCAACTATAGCCATTGAGCTTCCCCGGCCCAATATTTTATATGCAGTACATTTAAAAAAGGCAGATGCACGCAACAGCCAAGTAACAATGCCCCTAAGCGCTGGAAGGAGACGTCCTGGCATCATTATGTATTCCTTGAGTAGTCAACCAGACACTTACAACTGTTACATCAGCTTGCCCTGGTGCAGTGTCGTCTTGACCAAATATGGACAACAGTACCCCTTGGTAAAAAAAAAACCCCAACCCGTTATGTCCAGCGCTGGGGGTATTTATTTAATCTCCGCTAGCCAGTAATTAGTGCTAAGTTTAGTTTGCGAGATTTCAATGGAGTCGGTCGGTCCCTGGCTGCTGCCAATTCCTTTCGCTCTCGTGGCTGCTCGCTCGACTCCGTTGCTCGTATCTCTCGCTGTGGCTGGGGTGGGGTCGATCGCGCTTCTGTGAGCGTGAACCTGCCCGCCTGGCCGTGACAAACGTAAGGCTGCCAACAGCAGCAGCAGCAGCCTTAGAGCGCTCCCGAATTTGCACATCGCTTATACAAGCCAGCGATGGCCTGAGACCACACACCCTTACGCTCAGCTGAACAACACTGTCGCATTGCACGCGATTGTATTTATTGGCTTATGTTTCTGCCTTGGGGTGGGGTGGGAGGGGGTTTCTCTTTGTTAT